TTAAAGCTAACAGGGGGCAAAGTCAGGATAACTTCTTAGCCACAAATAAGTACTTTAAAGGACTGAGTCTCTGGGCCTGCAGACTGGGAACCAAAGTTGCAGGGGACATCAAGTTCAATTGGCACAACACAGTATACAAAAATACTGTTCTACACTTTACTTTGGTGAGTAGCAACTGGGGTCTTAAAAGCTTGCAAAGGGGCTATTTAAGATTCAACTATTGGTCTCTACTCATCTGGAGAAGAGTGAAGGAAATCAAAGATTCATGGAAATAATCAGTCCAAAGGACTATGGACTATGAGGACCTCAGTCTATGTGACCCTGAGACCAGAAGAACTAGGTGGTGCCCAGCTACCAATGCCAACCACTTGGAAAGGGATCAAAGTTGGAGAACCTGGATAAAGCAGAAGAAAAAACGTGGAATAACATTAAAACACAAAAAATACCAGGTTTACTGGTCAGATAGAGAGACTGGTGGAACCCCCAACTCTGGCCCCAAGTCACCTTTTGGGCCTGGAACTGAACTCACTCCAATGGCTTAACTCTCAGCTAAACAACAGACAGATCTATGAGCCTGAACACTATACCAGGGCAATAAACTCCTTAGAACAATCAACCATGGGAGATCAGAAGGGCAGGATTTCCACAGGAAGAAAGATATTTGGTCTCTATAGGCAGGAATGCACAGGGAAGGACACAGGGAAAGGGTAAGCACAGGGAAGAAGTGGAAGGAGAGCTATTATACTCTGGAGAATGTCATCAGGGTCACAAAATGAAATGTGTATGAACCTGCTGCATGTAAAATGAATCTGCTTTGTAAAATTTCACCCAGATAATAATAAAAGTTTCAAGAAAGAAAAAAAATTAATCCCTGCTTTAGAAGAGCTAATACTGAAACTAAACACAACAAAAATAAGACCACAACTTCTCAGACAAAACTTTATTCATACATTAAAAAAAAGTTACATCCCAGTAATTCTTTTCTAAAAAGATTTTTAATTGTAAAGTTTAAAATAAAAAGATTGAAAGGTGCAGTATATAGCTTTTCAAATTTTGTACATACCATTGTCATAGTTAAACAATTTAAGTGGCAAAAAAATATACTTCTCCTACAGTAGGAAACACATGACCTTTTGTAAATGCAGACTTCAGTCACAATGGCATCAAAAATCAAAGCAAAATAAATCACTAT